TAATAATATTTATATATCAGCAGTAGAGGGGAATATCACGATCACTATAGCATCTTTCCATTGAATTCATATATGCAAGACTAATACTGGTGCCAAATGATTTCCCCTTCCTAAGCCACGTTTCTGTGATCTCTTTATTTGCCAGTAAAGAGAAAGATATTGCACTGTAAACATGCAGCTATCAAGCCATCTATGCCATCAGTAGAGAAACCATTAACAATTGATCAGCTGGCTGCTTCCTTGTAAAAGTTTTGTCAAGCTGGATCTCGGGCCTTTGTTGGTGTCCGTTGCCCACAGTCCGGTCTCAGTCCCTTCTGACCAACTGGTCCTGGCTCAGCTTTCACGTGGCGTTGCAGGAGGCTCTGATCAGTGACTGAAGTTGGAATCTTTTTATAAAAGCATTTCACGTGTTAAAATCTGTACCGCAAATCTGTAGAAATATATATTATTAATATATAATATAATATAATATATTAATATTGGTTAATATTAATATATTAATACATATTCAATTCCTAAAGTTTTAAAAGTGAACAATGTATACTCTGGAGGGGCTACTGGTAGCCCTTCATTTGCTTTTTTGGAGAACTGCAATATGTGAGCCATATAACCCTCCTAGCAGTTCTGTCCTGTGGAGGAATCCAGGGAAATGCGAAAGGGGATGTTGCCTCCCGCTAGTGCAAGGTGGGAGGGCCAGATGCGGATGAAGCTTTTCCCTACTGACCCATATTCCTGGCTGCTCTCCAGGCGCAAGGCCAGTGCTGCTGGAAACGGAGGTGATTAATCAGTTCAGCCATGAGCAGAGAGCACTGCACAGAAGCCCAGTTAGTGCACCTGTTATTTCAATAACCTGAGCTTTAGCTGTTCCACTTTAAAAACTAATGAAGCAAACAATGCTATGACACAGATGTAGACAGCAAAAATATGACAGGGAAAGGCAATTAACCTTTGTACTAATGAAGCCTTTGCAACATTAATACAGTATTTTTCTATACTGCAGTACCTCCATCTTACAAATACCTTGGGAGCAAAGGTAGTTTACAGCTGCAAACGGCTCATTCTCCTTACAGCCCCATCCTGCTTCAGCTTCCTCCAGTGTTTCCTTCCAAGCTGTTTTGCACAATCACTTCTGTGCAGTCTGGTCCCTCTGTTAAATAAGCAGATTAAGACTTCCCTTCAAGAGCCCACCCAGTGGCCATGCAAAGGCACCCTGGCTTAGTGAGCAGATCTGAGGGCCTGGGAAGGCATCATCATATTAGAAGCTTTCCTGGTCACAACCAAATTCTACATACCTTTTAAATTTCCCTCTAAATTCAGAGCAGACACCCTCTTCAGCTTTAGTACTTCTTAGAGTAATATGAGGACCTCACTGGCTAAGTCCAAAGGCCTATCAAGTCCAGCAGCCTGTTTCACATGGTGGCCAACCAAGTGTCTGGTGGACACCCACAAGCAGAGCATGAGGACAATCATCCACCCGAGCAACAGAAGACTCCAAACCAAACTGCCTGCCTGCCTGCCTGCCTGCCTTCCCTTCTTTCAATGAGCACACATTTCTTGTATCATCTAGTGTGGTTCACGATGTTTAATAGGATGACTCTTTGTTTTGAATCTAATGAAGACCTTTTAACCAACAAATGTATGCTAAAACAAGACTCTAGAGTGGTAGCATTGCTGCCAGAGGTTTATACCTTCGGTGTTTCCGTTTCACCGAAGCACATCATCCTCCTTTCCTCATTTGTCCTCATAACACTCATACGGAGGAGGTGATTTTTATTCCCTTTCACACAGAGACCTCAGTTTGACAAAACGCAATTTGCCCAAGGTCATTCTGAAAGCTTTGCAACATGCAGTGATATAAAACTGAGCTTTCTGGAAGGATCAAATCCAGCGTATATCTGGAAGGTCTTTATTGCAAACCTATATGCATCTACTTGTATAGTGGGGCTTACTCCCAGGTAAGTATGTATAGGGTAAGCCTTAGAGTGCCTGGGATGCTACTGTGCTGTTTTTGGTTGATCATTTTGGCTGATCGTTCACAGCCTCTGAAGTCCCTTCTGTGAACATTCTATGAAACTTGAGCATCTGTGAGAAGGTTGGCACATGCCAATGTTGCACAGGTTTATATGAGCCGAAGTGGATTTTGGGTTCCTCTGCTGCTTCACTGGTCAAAACAGCACCTTGAATTGAACATGAGAACATAAAACAAGCCATGCTGGATCAGACCAGTTGTTCATCTAGTCCAGCACTTGGTACACTTGGTGGCAGATGAGCTGCCTACAGGATCGCTCCTGCAGGATAGAAAAAGACCTACAGCTGCCCAAGCCCTCAGCAACTCATGCATGCAGTCATGCTACCCCTGGTAGAGAAGGTAGCACTCAGCCAGCAAGGCTAGTAGCCACTGATAGCCTCCTCCTCCTCCACAATCTGCCCAATCCCCTTTTACTCGTGAAACCAATCCAATTGATGGCCACCATCACTTTCTGTGGCAGCAAATCCCATGGTTTAACTATTCATGGCATGAAGAAGCACTTCCTTTTATCTGTCCCGGACCTTCCACAATTCACCTTTATGAGACGATCCTGGGTTCGAGTGTTATGAGAGGGAGAGAGAGATGTCTCCTCCTCCACTTTCTCCACACTGAGATGCCAACTAGCAATCAGAGCAGCTGGTACAGTTCCAGTTGAAACCCTTGCAGCCACTTTCTGCACCAGGTGAAGTTTCTGAACTTCTTCACCAACAACTTTGGGTCACGGCAATTTGTCATGCCACCTTTGCTTTTCAGTAGCATAATGTTCTCTGAGCTAGGGTTGTGAGCTACTTGGTTCCTCTCTCTCTCCCCCAAGACATTACATGGATCCTGTCAAAACTCGTTTAGACGGGGACTTCCAAATTTCTTTAAAATGTTGCTTCAGGCAAGATCAGATGATACCCTCTGGATGTGTAGAAAGTTCACATCCCTCTGGAAAGTCCGCTGGAGTGCCAAATCGTTTTGTGTGAGGAAGAAAGCATGGGTTCACTCTGCCAGGAAACAGCCATTCAGTGGCAGCACTGTGTGTGCGCCTCTCCTTAGCTTTAGGCCAGGCCTTTCCTGAATTTTCAGCTTTCATTTTGATGGAAAGTTCTAGCCTTTTCAGTTGTGGAGGTATGTGGACAGTTATGTAGGTAGACAGTATTTCTACTCAAAGGCTCACAAACAAAAATACGTTTTGTTCTTCCTATGTCCTGGATAATGAGTGCAAAGGCATTGGGATAACTGACAGGCACTGGGTCATATAGAATTGAAAGGTTAAGCTATTTATTAACACATTTAATGAGCTTCATACACACCAGAATACATGCATTTATGACCCACCTACTACGCAAAAACTGCTTGCCCTCAGGCCTCCTCACCACAAAATGTCTGGCTTCGGGCTGGTGTTTTGAATGCTATGTAAGGCAAAATGTCAGAAGCAACCTTATTCTGCGCTCCCAGAGTGGGGTGATTTTAGAAATGCATCATGTTTGCCTGATTTGACTGGGCCTCTGCTTTTCTGTTCCTAAGGACCAAGGCACTGCAGGCCACATTTGCACATAAAAAGCAACACACCACTGAACACAACCTATTTGCTCACCCCTAAGTGATTAAAACTAATTTATTGAGACCTCAGCCTGTGATTCTGATGTGTTGCTCCCAAATAAGCCAAGATTTGTAAAACCCCCCCCCCCCAACAAATCAGGGCTTGATCTTGGCTTAGAAATCCTGACTTGTTTGAGAGCAAGAGTTCAGGATTTGGGGTTCCGAAATCATGGAAAACCACCCCTTCCTGGTTAGTATGAGAGACTCCTGAGAAGGTGACTGCTCAGTCCTTGTGTACTGTGGTGCTTGTTTTATTCTACTCGTTTTTTGTAAGTCGCCCTGAGACGCTTGTAGTGGACAGATTAGAAACACTTTTAATAAATAAATACTAGCATGCTGCTCATTCACAGTAAGTCATGGCTATTGAACTAGGCTTGTGAGCCAAATCTGGCCTGCCTGGCCATCTGGAATTCTCTAAATGGTCATACACTCATTTCCTCCGGAGTATCAGTTGTTTAGTGTCTCCTTGGCAAATGTTTGCAATATTTTCTAATATTTACTTACTGGTAAGAATAGCATGGAGCTAAACTATGCTGGTGTTTTGGGTATTTTGACCCACCCACGTTTGCCTTTGTTCCCACCCACATTTGGAAAGGAACGCTGGAGAGCTTTTCCAGTGTTGAATTTGGCTCCTGGACTGGTAAAGAGCTGGTAACCTGGCAGTAAGCCAGGGGAATCCTGGCTTGCCATCACATACAAATGTAGCCACTGCCATTTATGCAGTGTTAAATGTTCAAGCTTTCCCCCACTCTGATCAAGGAAGGCTGAGGCCCAAAGCACATTCACCTCAATGCTGTGTCTGTTTTTGTCCATCACATCTGTTATGGTGCGCAAATCTCCAATCTAGTCAATCAAACCCTCAGTCATGTGTTAATGTGACTGAATTAATGCAAGAATTTGTGGCATGCATCAGTTGACATTTCCCGAGCCTTCACCAAGGTGTCTCCTGACTGAAATTCCATTCAAAATGTGGCTGCTTACTGACTCAACAGCGGTGCTCCAGAACCAGTGAATGAACTGCCTAATACAAAGACCCAAAGTAGATGTCCCTTTAAAACAAAGCGAGCCCATGAGCTGCCTTCTCAAACTTTGTTCTTGCTGAGTGGAGAATCAAACTGATTGATGGTCTTATTGTTTTTAGCACTTAAAAAAAAATCTCCACATTAGTTATTTTTAAAATTTTTGTGTTAGGCAGGTTAGTGGTTTGGAAAATGTGTTTGGCAGTCTGTTAATTAAAGAGTGAAATTGAAATATAAAATGATTATTTTTGCACTCCTCATTTGTGGGATTTCAAAGTTCTTTTGCAAACATTAATTAAGCCTCCTAACATCCCACAGAGGTAGGTAAGTTAAGTGTTATCTGCCTTCTGCAGGTGCGGTGGGGGCCTCGGAAACAAACTGTTCTGGGCCTGAGCCTGTAAATTGCACAAGTGAAGAGTTAAAATGCTCAGCAGTCACAGGAGTGATAGGAGGAAGTTGATTTTGGACAGAGGAAACTCACCCTCAAAACACTTTGCAGGAATGCTACTCACTGGTGAGTCATCAGCTCTCAACCCAATTTGCTGGGGGTGGGGGGAATTCGAAGATAAAATGAGATACAGCGGTCAGGAGTTTGTGTGTGGGATGGGACTGGGGTTCAGGGAACGGCACTTGGCCATGATGCTCACTCGGTCGGTCATGGACTCTCAGTGTTGCCTACCCCACAGGGCTGTTGTGAAGAGGACCAGGTAACTTGCTTGGGGTTCTGTACAAGAGGGAAAAAGGTGGGATAGAAATGTAATAAAGACAATGCAGTGTTATTGCGAAAAGAGTTGCTACAGTGGTAGAGGCAGCCTGGAAGGGCAGCATAACAAGGGAAATTCTGTCAGGTATAGCATTTCTCTTTGGCGATCTATACTAGAGGTTTTTTTTTTTTTTTAAATCAATATAATCATTCCTGACTTATATGATGGTTACTCCAAATGAACCTCCTCACACTCCTTCTGCTGTTACGTCCCACTTTTCTTTGGATCCATTTTATCACACTTTCTTTGTGCGATGCATTTTTCGCTGAAGTACCTCTGGCAGTGTGTGCTAAACCTGCATCCCTGTCCTGGGGTGGGGGGAGCAGGGGTGGCTGCATGAGGGCTGGCGGGCTGTAGCGCTGCAAGAGGAAGCATACTGTTAGGCTGCTTTTTAAATTTTTGCATTATTTGCTAATGGGGAGGTGCGACTCCATGAGTAAACTTCCCACATTGCTTCAAGCACAACAGGAGGAAGGCTGCGCAGCCTGGGGAACCTCAGCCCTGCAGCAGCATCTCTGAAAAAGGAAGGCGCCTGATTGGCCTTCAGTCACTCCCTGCTCCATGGCCTCTCTTTCCCTTTCTTTCCCATACTCCTCAGCATGGACCCTAAGCGCGCCAATGCAGTTTGCATAAATAGCAGTCCTTGCTACAGGCTGGTCCTCTGTAACTGGTCCCCGGGTCACTGCAACAGCGCCATGAGCAGGTGCAGCGGGGACTGAAACGGGGAGAGGTCTCCCTTCATGCTACTCCTTAGAAACTAGATTTAGCCCACCCTAATCTCTGGCACCGAATGAGGATGCACCCGCAGGGAAAGGGAACCAGAGCTGGCCCCTGCAAGATTCCTTGGGGCTCAGAGCAGTCTACTTCATTAGTATCTTACTGTTTCCTTAAAACTTCTTCAAGAGGGAAACAGACCCAAATATGCTGCTTTGCAACTTTTCTGCTTAAAATGACCCGTTCGCTAGCAACTTTATTCTGAAGTTCAGCTATTGGGTAGACTAACAATGTAATAACTACATTCATTCACGGTTTCAGCACATTTATAGAAGGAATAGGCCTTCCAAATCTTTGGGCCTACAACTCCCATCAGCCCTAGTCAACATAACTCATGGTGAAGTATAATGGGAGTTGTAGGCTAAAATATCTGGAGGGTCACAAGTTGCTCACCTCTAATTTATGGATTTGCTGGTTCTACTGATTAACGGACTTGGTAGCCTGAGAGAGCCTATACATCCTTTTGTAGGCCATGGTGTATCTTGGCATTGGCTAAAACCCAGAGATGGGACCTGAACAGTCTTCTGAAAACTGGAACAGCTGGAGTTCCTTGGCCACTTTTGCTACCACTGTTGCCAAGAGTTGTGGAAGAGTCAGCCAGACCTTTGGCAGCAAGAGCAGCAAGTAAAGCCCAGATGTGCATATAGGATGATTCCCTCCCATGTACACCTATTTCTACGTTGGCTGCTAATAAGACCATCCTATGTGGGTTAATTCAGAAGCAGGTTCTATTAGGTTCAGTGGATTTACTTTCTAGCAGTGCGCTAGGATTTCACTATTAAGACTGTCTTCTAAATTCACAAAAAATGCTATCCCACCCTGATGGTGGAATCCCACTCATTCATGCATGAAGTCCATAATTTGAAGGCTTAAAATATACCACGAAACTCCCCCCGCCCACACACACACAAACACAGATTATACACATTATAAGTATGTGTGTGCATATATAAAGCTAGTCAGTGTACCCCAAGCGCAAGACTTGGGTCAGACCCCAATTTGGCTTGGACCAATTCAGAGGCTGCCTGCTTTGACTCAGCTTGAACTCCAGACCCTGATTTAGAAATCCACATCTTCATGCATCCCATTGACTATAAATGGAAATCAGAAAGGTTAGATGTAGGATAAATAGAAGCAGTTAAAGGCAGTTTCTGCTCAGTTGGCCCCAGAGGCACAGAAAATGCAATAGGATGAGTCAGTGATAAGTGTGGACAGGACAGAGACTGAAGGCCCGGAGCACCACGCATTTTCCAAGCAAGGAACCACAGGCTCCACCAAGCTCTCCTAACATTTTTGCTTCAGAGAGAGAGAGAGAGAGCACTGAATCAGCGGCTGCTGTGTCAACATCCCTCCTCCAGAGCACAGAGAACAGAAATCACTCACCGTGATTAGCAGCTAGAGTTATTAGTCTCCAAATGCCCCCTTCTCCTTTTCTTTGCCATACCTTTAGTGTTTTTGTAATACGGAAAGCTTGAGAAGAGATATCAATGTTTGGAGACAACAGGTTTGTGTCTCTGTATACTTTTGAATCTTGAATCTTCCAGAGTGTTCAGATTTGGATTTGGCCCACTTTGGAGGAGTCCCATTTGAGTCAGACATCTGGATCAGCCTGGTTTGGTTTGGGATATGGCCAAATCTGAAGTATGCCTGGGATGAAAAGGTTATTATTTAATGGAAAAAGCTAAAGAGGATTGATCTTCACAACTTGCACCTGCACAAGAGAAGGCATCTATAGGAGAAAATGGGCCACCTTTGCACAGGAGAATCATGTTGGTACTCTTAAATGTACTCTGATGAAACAACAAGGACAAAATATAACCTTGTGACCAGCTGACTCCTATTTATAGCAATGAACTACTCTCAGCTAAAGGTGGATACCTTAGTCTCTCTTCCATGTTCATTCATTCTCTCATATATATGATTTAGAGTGCGTTTTTACTGTCTAAAATCAATGAAAACAATTGAACAAAATAAATGCTGAATTTAAGACAGGCCTTGTGGGTGGGATGTTGGTTGGTTTTTAAATTAAGCATTAATAAAGCTGCATTCCTGACAAGCTCTTGTGTGTGTACCAGGTATTCTTTTAGAAATGTCAGTATTAAAAATGGGAGGAAGATCACTTTGTTGCAAACAAGAACTCCAGCATATGAGCAATTCTGTGCTGGTGTGTTCCGTGTACATAGTTGTTGATATCCGTATAGAAAACACGTCGTAATAATTTCATTGCCTGTCCTATAAAACAGCAATTAAGGAATATGGCAAGAGTTAAAAGAAATGATCAGAGGTCCAGCCTCTCTTTCTTTCTGTCTCTGAGCAAGTTGTTAGAGAGACACGCTTGGACCTCTGATAATTTGGTTATGAGAATGCTCATTCAGAGAGCAAATGATAGGCATTCAGTGATAGAACAGAATTATTCTGTTCTGCACACTACAAGTATGTTATTTAAGTAAGTCTTGTATGAAATGCTAGAGAAATCTTGGTGGAAGCAACCTGTCCTTCTCATATGCAAAAATTGCTGTATTTCTTAGAAGGTAGGGTTTTTTTTCTTTTCCTTTTTTTAAAACTAACCTTTAGCTGTGCATCCATTTGTCTCTGCCTCTAGAGGTTAATGGTGTAGGGCTTTTGTTTTGTTTTTATTTTGCATAGTGACTGCTATTTTCACATGGAAAGCCACCTTTCCCCTCTCTACTGGGTGCGGGACACTGCTGGTGTCTGGTTTTTGCCATTGCCTGTGAAATTCTGTTAATGTAGTTCAAATGCTTGTAAAAAACTCAGCTCTTCCCTTTGGGAGAGTCAAATTGATTTCCCTCCTCTGCTCTCCCCTGTGCCTCCCCTTCTCTTGTGGTCTGCAGGGCAATCCTGTGACAACATTTCTTTTTATGGCTATCCATCACAATGGGTTGTAGCTTTGGGGTTCGAAGGCTTTGGAATTACCAGTTGGTGGGAACGGGACAGGGGCAGTGTCCCACCTCCTTCGTGGTTTTTGTTGTGCTACTGAAATGCGCTCCTTCCACAGTTCTTTGAACCGTAATCTCAGAGATGAGTGAAGATGCTCATTTCTGGAAGGGGTCAGGTCTGTGGAACTCCCTTCTGCTGACTTCTCCCTCTATGGAAACGAGTGCTTTGCTCATTTCTGATCACTGCTGCACCCTTTTGCTCCCCATTGCGCCAGTGGGGCATGCTGGTGGTGTGTGCAGGCAGCTTTGGAGACCGCCTGAGAGAAGGCGTGAGCTGTTTCCCTCATCTCTTGCCTGGGGCTTTCCGGAGGCATCAGGCTGCCCTGCTGCGTGCAATGGCTGCTAGATGCAAGAGGTCTTGGGTCTGAAACAGCTGGTCTTAGGTTTAATTCCGTCTTCTACAGTGTCTGTCTAGTAGGTATGCACTTCATAAGGAAACCATGCATCACCACCATTATCATCACCCTCTTAAGACACTTACAATTTTCTAGGATGTTTCCACTCCCGGAGCAAGGATGTTTAGACTGTAGCATAGTGAATGGTTTGGACCCAGATGGCAGTGGATTTCCCTGCCTCTTCCTTACCAAGGTAGCTATGCAAAGAGTTAGGAAGCCTCGTGGATGGAGTGGGCTGTGATGGATGCACGGCAAAAGGGATTCCCCTGAGAGGTAGAGGGTCCTTCCTTGAGTGGAGTCCTCCTCCTTGTGGAAGGCAGGTCCTAGATCCAACAAACTTGTCATTGTCATCTTGCGAGAGGTTTCAGAAGTTTCCCATTTTCATTCTATGCAAACAGACAGAATTAACGTCACACACCCTGCCATATTTATCTAGCATATCTTATGAAATGGCTTATGAAGGAAGTTACACAACTTTTGAGACAATGGGTGGTTGATTGCCACTGGGGAAGCTTTTCAACAAGAGAAGGACTATCTTGCTGAAAAAGCTTTGCTGTAGAACAGCACTTGCTGCAGTTTGCGTTGCCCGAGTGAGGAATGTAAGAAGGGCCAGCGAGGGAGACA